TAATCAGGGGTTATATATAGATTAGGTTAGGTTAGGTTAGGTTAGGTTAGGTTAGATTAGGGGTGTGTGTGCATGTGTGTGTGTGTGCATTTTTGTTTGTACAGGTGAGTTCAGGTGATGGGTGGGCAGGGGTAATGGAGATGGATGAATGTAAGATGATACACTGACTTGGGCTTAAAAGAAGTTGAGAACATGCTCTAAGAAGTAAGCACAAGAGGTGCTCACATGGCCCCTTGTCTGTTCTTGTCTTATGGCCACACCAATTCTGCCTCTTAATGAAGGCAAGTTCAACAATTACTGATTATGTATGAGCCCCTCTACGACTCCATAAACTTCTGAGGAACAGGGAGAGACGCACTATTGATCCTGGGATAGTCTTCTCCTCGCAGTAGCTTCACAGACCTTTACATGTTGAAAATATTTAAAACTAATTAATGGAAAAATAACCCCATTAAATTACTGCTACATAGATTCAAGTCTCAGGAAAAATACCCATACACACAGACATGTATTTATATGAGTTTAATATTTAAAAGTACTTGATTTTCAAAATGAAAATGTTAAATCATGATAAAGACTTTAAGGATTCTTGCATAAACAAAAAAGAAGTGAAATGCCAAAAAATACATACTTGGAAGTGCCAACTAATCCAATAAGTAGAAAAAACTCACTATGCATTTAATTGACTATGTGGGCCCAGAAAGTGTTGCCACTGCTTTCTTTAACCACGAAGAATGTAAATAAATATGCTTTAAAATGATTCTTCTTCTTTACCACTTCCACCTCCACTGAGGTAAAGAATATAAAATTGAAACAGAAAAAAATATAGCTAAATATGCTATTTTCACACACATAATATATGATATAGAAAATACTCATAAACATGCCATACACAGCAGAATTCATAATCAAGTTGTGAGAAAACTTCTTATGCCCAGAAGAGAAGAGAATTCTCCTGGTGAGATATTTCCTAGAAGAAAGCACTGGCTCCTGAAATTGTGCCCTGATGCCTTCTTTCAAAGATCTTAGGAATGTTTGAATAGTGTGTGTATGAGAACGCGCATGTGCGCACGCACATACACACACATACACACACACACACACACACACACACACACACACACACACACACACACGTTCCAGTGCAACTGAGAGTGTATATGTGTTCACCAAGAGAGCAAAAGATATTTGTGAAAAAGTTGTTTCTGAAGTTTGAGTTCTACACAAATCCTTCCTTTGTTGTTGCTGTTGACTTTATGAAGGTGATTGATTTTCATTTTCAAAATCTGTCACTTCTGGGGCATCTGTTTTGGGGGCAGACTTCTTACAGCTGCAGCAGAGAGTGCCTGTCACTAGCCCTGTTGCTCAGTCACCATCTCCATTTATAGTTGGGTTTTTTAAGTGTTCCAAACAGGAACTCTGAGTTTCTGCTGATCTTGAGTCATCAAAGTAAAACTTGATTCCTCCCCTTTAATTCAAGTCTTTTATGCTGACATTTTTTAAAGACTGACATGGTTGACTAAAAAAACCCTGACCCTCTTAAACGAGTATTGATTTTAGAGTTTCTTCTGGATATACATTTAAGTAGGCTTTTTAATTAAAAAAAAAAAAAAAAAAAAACTGTATCTCTTTCCATTGTGCACTATTGCAACCATCTTTATGCAGAAGGTAAAGTTCACTCTACCAAGACAAGACTATTCAGGTTGCTTAAATTACAAATGTGAATTGCAAGTCTTCCCCTTCAAAGATTAATATTAAAAAAGGGGGAAACATATAACTCTATTCCACAGCCTCCTGTAACTTAACAGAACTAAATCTAGATTTGCAAAAGCCCTAGGAAACAGCAACTGTGACAAATATGTGGGAAAGATAGCTGTAACAGTCAGGATCCCATAAAAAATAATGGCACATTGAAGCTAGCTTCTCTCGGGAGTTAATTTATACAGGCATCCTATACCTAGAAGCACAGAAAAGTCATAGGGACGGACTGATGATCTGGGGTTAGCAGAGTCAGAGTTGTCATCTCCTCTAGGCTCAAGGGGACCAGGGCAGAGAGCAGTTATTTGGACCAGGAAAGAGAGAGTGTTGTAGAGGGTAATTTCTAGAGAGGACCAGTGACCCTTCCTGGCAACTGGGAACTCACAGTCTACTTGCCAGAGGATATGTGTCCCAAGAGTCTATCAATGTTAACAGGGGCACTATTGTTATCTTGAGTTTGACAATGATGTGTTTTGTCCTCCATCCATCTAATGATAATAGCATACCCTAGTCACTGTGAATAAAAAAAAAAAAAAAAATGCCCTGACTCATTTCTAAAGTTTCCCTGGCCAGTAGTTATTTTTCTCTTTCTCACTGGAAGTGAAATGTTAACCAAATGGCCGTGGGAATGTTTTAATCTTTATCTCTGAATCAACCTAGATCTCCAAAAAGCTCTTCCCCAAACACTAAATATCTGAATCAATAGACTTTTATTTGATGGTGGGAGCAAGATAGTGCATCATTTACAGCCCCTCATCCATGTTCCAGGCAAGAAGGGGGAAAAGAGAAAAAAAGTAGGAAGGTTTGATGGTTATGTCAGGAGAACCCTAGTTTTCTCAAAAATGTTTAGTGTGCATCTCATTGGCCAGAACCATGTCACATGGCAGCTTCTACTGACAAAGCTGTATTAGGCAGTATATTAAGTGGGCATATTGCTCCCTGAACAAAATTGAAATTCTTGAGTAATGAAGTAAGGGAATGTGTATGATGAGGAAGCAGTTAGCAGTTAGCAGCATCTATTATATCTTGCGGTTTGGTGTGAGTAAATGACAATAGAGTAATCTTAAGTCTTTCATCTTCTCTTCCTCTACATACTAGAATTTGCCTGGAAATTAATAAACAACAAGATTAGAGTGTGTCCACTTATTTGTTATATCAACAAATCTAATCTTAGTATCTCAGAACAAAATTAAAACATTGCATCATTCGCATATTTGCAGATCCCTAATAGACTAATGCCTGAGGACAAATGTTTGGATCTCCAAGCTTTCCTAACCTTGACTTATCTCCCATGATAATTTTAGCCTCCCATAGTTCAGAAGGAAGATATTTTCACCTTTGTGTCATTAGAGCATTCAGTAAGTATTTCTTTTTGTTTTTAATTTCATGATGACAACATAAGGTTATATTTTATTTTTTCAATTACAGTTGACATTGAATATTTATATTAGTTTCAATTATACAGCATTGTGGTTAAACATTCATATAACTTAACAAAGTGACTCCCCCCATAAGTCTTGTTACCCACCTGGCACCATATATAGTTGCTACAATGTTATTGACTTTATTCTCTATGCTGTACTTTGCATCCCCATGACTATTTTGTAACTACAAATTTGTACTCTTAGTCCTTTCACCTTTTTTATCTAGTACCCCACCCCCTCTCCCATTTGCCATCTATCAATTTGTTCTCTGTATCTATGAGTCTGTTTCTGTTTTGTTAATTCACTTATTTTGTTCTTTAGATTCCAACAATAAGTGGAATCATATGATATTTGTCTTTCTCTGACTGACTTCTTTCACTTAGCATGATACCCACTAGATCCATCCATGTTCTTGGAAATTGTAAGATTTCAGTCTTTCTTATGTCTGAGTAATATTCAGTTGTATAGTCAGTATTTCTGAGTTGAAGGAATGAATTCAACAGACATCAGGAAGCTATAAGAGGAGGCGGCTGCATTTCGGTTGTCTTTGGTAAATTACTCTTTGATATAAAATTTAGCATCTCCTTGGTTGTGCTGGAGTGTTTGTTGCTCTCAACACCCTCTTTGCATTTATTTATTTATTTATTTATTTATTTATTTATTTATTTATTTATTTATTTATTTATTCATTCATTCATTCATTCATTCATTCAATCATTTAATTTGATTTCCATTGCCCAGTCCTCCAGCTTTCTTTCTCTACTACCTTCTTTTAGCACTATGGTGACTAAGTGTTGGGGTAATTTGATTAAGATCATGGTGTTCAACATATTTTTTTGTTGTTGTTAGTGTTTTTGGTGTTATACATATTTAATAAGAAAAAAAATATTGCCAAATCTAATGTGATGAAGCTACCTCTCTATGTTTTCTTTTAAGAGTATTAGAGTTTGCACTGTTATGTTTAGTACTAAAGTTTTAGTTTCTTTTTGTATGTGGTGTAAAGTAAGGATCCAGTTTCATTCTTTTGCATGTGGATAGCCAATTGTCCCTACACTATCTATTGAAGGGACTGTTTTCTTCCCATTTTATGGTCTTGGCACTTTTGTAAAAAATCAATTTAACATGCATTCAAAGGTTTATTTCTGGATTCTCTATTTCATTGGTTTATATATCTGTCTTTATGCTACTACCACACTGTTTTGATTATTATAATTGTATAATAAGTTTTGAGATTGAGCAGTTTGAAATCTTCAATTTTGTTTTCTTTTGTCAAGAATGTTGGACTATGCAGAGTTTCTTGAGATTGCATATGAATTTTAGGAGGGATTTTTTTTATTTTTTCAAAAAAGGCACCTTTGGGATTTTGAAAAGTATTTATACCAATAAATCTGTAGACCACTCTGTGAAGTATTAACATTTTAACTCTATTAAAGTCTTCCAACCCATGAACTCAGGTAGCTTTCTATTTATTTGTGTCCTCTTTAATTTATTTAAGCAACAGTTTATCGTTTTCAATACAAAAGTACATCTTTTACTTCTTCGGTTAAGTTTATTCCTAAGTATTTTTATCTTGTTATTGTAAATGACATTGTTTCCCTTACCACCTTTATGGATTTTCCATTTGTAGTTCACAAAAATGCAGCTGATTTTGTGTTAGTTTCTTCTCTGAACTCTTAGAAGCCAAGAGCCATGCTGTATTTGTATTTTGTGGAGTTACTGTAAAAATAATAATTGGAAGTTTTTAATATATTTTTAAAATTTTCCATTGGCAATAATGTCTGTCTTTTGTTTTTGTTTTTCCTTTCTCTCTCTTTTCAGGGCTCTGCCAGTGCAACAGCCTCTCCTCCAGTCTCCACCCCTGTCACGGGACACAAGAGAATGGTTATACCAAACCAACCCCCTCTAACAGCAACCAAAAAGTCTACATTGAAACCACAGCCTGCACCTCAGGCTGGTCCCATTCCTGTGGCTCCAATAGGGACACTAAAACCCCAGCCTCAGCCAGTCCCAGCCTCCTACACTACAGCATCCACCCCTTCAAGGCCTACCTTCAACGTGCAGGTGAAGTCAGCCCAGCCCAGCTCACATTACATGGCTGCCCCTTCACCAGGACAATTTTACAGCCCAGGGTCAGGGCACCAGGGCTATAACATTCAACCAGTTCCTGTTTCTGGTCAAGGTCCACCTCCTCCAACACGGGGAGGCATGGATTATGCATATAACCCACCCCCAGGCCTCCAACCTGAGCCTGGGTATGGATATGGCCCTAACCAAGGTCGCTATTATGAAGCCTATAGCCCAGCAGGGCCTGTGTATGGAGGCAAAAATGACTCTGATCCTGCCTATGGTCAACAAGGTCACCCCAATACCTGGAAACGGGAACAAGGGTACACTCCCTCTGGGACAGGAAACCAGCACCCTACTGGCATGTATCCAGTTGCCGGTCCCAAGAAGACCTATATCACAGATCCTGTTCCAGCCCCCTGTGCACCACCACTGCAGCCAAAGGTAAGATACTCATTGTCATAGTGACAGAAATAAAGGGCCGCCTGTCTTGGCCAGCCTTCCCCAGAAAGCAGAGCCTAAGGCAAAAAATGTATGTGCTCTTTTAATTTAATTAGAAACTACAATGCCAGGGAAGCAAGAGTGAAGTAGGAAAAGGAGGTCCCAATAGGTATATGGGTTTATGTTACCAATATGGCTATTGTTTAGTACCTGTTGCATCTACTTGTTCAATCTTGAAAGATCATTTACCACAAGATCACATGAACTCTAACAACTCATGGTAATTTTTTTATGGTGGCAAAATGGGGGAAATGATTTATCTTGTCTCCTCTTGAACCAAGCTTCTCTGTGAGTCAGAAACTTCCTCACACTTAGACATGCATTTACTTGGGCACCAAACAAATCTGTAGCACCCCATGCATTACAAGGACAGGATATCATCAGGTCTGGAAGTGAGAAGTATGCAGGGTAAACATGAGGTGAGCTTCTGTCAGGTTGAGTTTATGAGACAGTGGTCAGACTCAAGGAAAGTTGGTACCACAGTGGCTGCTAAGACACAACAAGTGGCCAACAGCCCAGGAGACAAGTGAGGCCAAGGGGATCTAAGGTAATGCAGACACCTTGTCTAATTTCCTTTGGGAAGAGGTTGCTGCAGTATAATGGCACTTGCTTATCACACCTTGTCTATCCACATTACAGATCCTGCAAGAAGAATCTTACTCTCTAGCCTTTAACTCTATAAGGCAATTAAAAAAAAATCCTTTATGACAGTTATCTTTTTCATTGTTTTATTTACTTGCAAGCATGTATGTCTTTTAAGTAAACATTAAGTTTCTTCCTTTGAATATGTAAGATATGATATTACACATACCTACTCACCTACAATTTTGATTTTCCATGATAACTAGAACCAGCATGATGATATATCCTTTTACCATGACTAGAGGAACCAATGGGGAATTACTTTGAAGAAGTGAGATGGATAAACCAAGCTAGGTTTTAGCCATCGGGTTAGAACAGCGGCCTCTTTTTCTTTCATTTATAGCTGTGAGAAATCAGAAATAGTTAGAAGCTGAATGGTAATTTGGGAGCAACTTGGGTAGAAGGACTATCTGTATATTTTTAATCCTTAGCACATTTGACATTGTCAATTTACAGACATATTCATTCACATTTTCAACATTATAACAAAAATGTCAGGTCCTTGTTCTCCCAGGCGTGTGTTTACTAAACCACTATTTTCAAATGAAAGTATGTGCTCTACTAATGGTGCTCCAAAATGAATTCTAGGGTCCTTAGAGGAGAAGAACCCTTCCCCGAAAGTGCATCCTTTATATGAATACCCTTTACATAAAATTGGTCCAGCCATGATGTTTTCCAACTTAAAGTTTCCCAGTTAAGTGTTTTGGAAACATTGCTCTTGGAAAGGTTTTTTTTTTTTTTTTCCCTCTAAAATCCCTTTATAAAAATAAATGTCAGTAAGTTTGTTTGTGTGTTTGGTTTTTAAATAAAGTTTCTCCAAAATAGCCAACCTGGATAGCCTTGCCCTTTGTTAACATTGCAGTGTATTAACATTAGTCCTTCCTGGTTCCCAGAGCAAACAGGTCAGAAAACAATTGCATTATTCAACTTTATCTCACATTAGTGCAACTGCAATAAATTCCCCTATGGAAGAGTAAAATTTTGGGTTGGGATCATTGACACTAACATTTAGGCTGAACTGTCTTAAATGCAGTTTTGCTCCTTCCAAAGCAACCTGACTTCGGATGGTCCTAATGGAAAGTGATAGGCCCAAAGTTGTTTTAGGATCCTATCACCCTCACCTGGGGGAAGCAGGCTTGAGACCTATGTCTAGCTGGAGGGAATAATCTTGTGAGAAGTGGTAAGCTAGTCTTTGAGTTTCCTGTTTTCCCATCATGTCATCGGCACTCTGGAAAGCCCCCCTTCATTCAACATTGGAACCAATCCAGTGGTGCAGGAAAAAAATCAACGCCCAATATACAGCCTGGATCTAAGATGCTGGGTCCAGCCACATCACTAGCATTTGGACTTGGTCAATATACTCAGGGTAATGGAACGAACTTTCATTAACCACTCACCAGAAAGCATGAAATTTTATTTTCCTTCTTTTTGTAATTATTCAGGATGATCTGTTATTATGGTTTCTGGATATCAGTGAATCCCACATAATTTAATTTTTTTGTTTAAATATTTGTTTTTCAATAGTGTCATGTGTTTGAACATTACATCGTGCATTTTAAAAATGTGAAAATCAAATCATGTACTTTTCTCTGTGATTATTAAGGAGAGTGGTTAGAGGTTGATATTTAGCCATCTGTCTTTGTTTGGTGAAAGGGGAAGGAGGCTGATGAGGCTACAGATATATTCTGCGTTGTGGGGGCACTAGTGACGGAGGGGATGGGCTCTTTCACAGTTAGTCTTTGAGCAGAACACTGCTCCTATTCAATGGCACCTGTGCACAGAGGACCTTATTGTCCAGTATTGACTCTGCTTAGCTTAGTGGTGTGACTACTGGCTGGAAAAATGAGCTCCTAAGTCTAATCCCAGTTCCTCCCGTGACATTCCTCTTTCAGCTTGAGGAAAGCCTCTAGACCTCTTTATGTCACGCTTCTAGCCTGGGTAAAGTGGAACATCATCTTCTCTAATTAATTAATGACTGCAGAGGGCTTGGAAATTTCCAAAGACTGAATAATTGCCAAGTGAGGACTGTTCACTTTTCACTGGCTTTCCTTTCTTTCCAATTTTTCCTCACTGATGGAAAACTTACCTTCATGCCTTACAAAAATGATCTTTTGTTATGTTGAGACAATTCTGAGGAATTTGGCCTTTAACTCATTAAGGATTTTTTTTAAATATATTTTATTGATTTTTTTACAGAGAAGAAGGGAGAGGGATAGAGAGTTAGAAACATCTATGAGAGAGAAACATTGGTCAGAGCCTCCTGCACACCCCCACTGGGGATGTGCCCGCAACCAAGCTACATGCCCTTGACTGGAATTGATCCTGGGACCCTTCAGTCCACAGGCTGACTCTCTATCCACTGAGCCAAACCTGTCAGGGCAAGGAATTTTTTTAATGAAAGAAATAAAACTTACCTATTCTTGACATTGAGCTGCTTTAATTTTCCTACATCATAGAGCAGTTTAAAAGAAGAGGAAAAGGAGGGTAAGGAAAAAGACAAGAAAAAAAAGAAACAAAAATGAGAAAAGTGAAAAAGAGAATGAAGAAAGGAAGGAGAAACAATCAGAAACTGTGAGACTTGGGGGATCATGATTAGATTTGTGTTCCTGTGTGCTGAGCAGTGAATTTGCATACCACAGTAGACCCTAATATGTTTCCTGCACCATCTGAGCTGAGTTCCTTGAAAAATATTGTTATAAGCAAATCTTTAAACGGGAGAAATGTTCCCTTCTCACTGACAGTCCTCTTAAAGAAATAGAGGAAACTTTTCTCTTTGCTGTTTTACTAGTATAAAAGCTAATACCTGCATGTTGTTGTGTGGTCCATGGAACTCTTGTCTTATGCATTATCTTCACATTCCTGGGATGGGTGTTTTCTCCAATATTCAGAAGGTGAGCTGGATGAAATTCCCAGAGCCAGGATCTGAGGCAGTCATCACTCTTAGGTCCAAAGTGGCAGGGCAGCTCTGGCACCCACTTCCTTGTCTTGAACCTAATCTGTGTCAGCCTATGGTCAGGTAAAAAGACAGCGGTTTGCCCCATACTGCGTGAAAGGCACTGATGCTGTACACCACAGAAAGATCTAGAGGCCCATCTATTGTGGGGATTAGGTTAACTTCTGAAATCATCTATTATTAAAATGTCCTTGAAAAATCTTTCAGGAAGGTGAGACCTTGGAGAACAACAAACTACCTTTTGGTAAACATAACAAAGTTGTTGTTGTTAGCTCTTTCAGACTGAAAACAGATCATTGCTCATCATTTACTTGTTGAAACGGGATATTTCATAGTGTTGAAGAGGCCCTAAAACCTGTAATTCTTTAAGATTAAGAAAATCTTTGAGAATGTTTATATAGTAGCATTTCAGATATTCAAGGAATATTAAAGTGTTTAACTCTGTGTGTATAAGTGGAAAAGAGAAGATATATATATATATATATATATATATATATATATATATATGTATATATTTACTATGTATATACACTATATATATACACTAGAGGCCCGGTGCATGGGTTCATGCACCAGTGGGGTCCCTAGGCCTGGCCTGCTGGATCAGGCCTAAACCAGCCCTCTGACATCCCCTGAGGGTTCCCAGATTGCGAGAAGGTGCAGGCCAGGCCAAGGGACCCCACCGGTGCATGATTGGGGCTGGGGAGGGACCAAGGGGAGGCTCCAGGGTATGTCCAGTCATCTCACCCAGTCCCGATGGTATATTGGTATATTGCAAAGAATTGGTGGTACTTTGAAGAGAACTATCTTTATGTTAATTTCTGTGCTAAATCTCTCTCAATTTTGGGATTAGAGAAAGAAAAGGAAGAAATATAAGGGCAAGAAGGACGGATGTGGATATATGCCTCAGGGCAATTGACAGTACCTAGACATGTACTGCGGAGATGAGAATGCTTGAGGAAGCTGGTGATAGTAATATTAGTAATTTTATGCAGGGCTTCTCGGTTTCCATAGTGCTTTGTGAACCTCACAAAATCTATGTGCATTAAACATAGATGTTTCTGTCTCTCTTGTGCTGATGAGAGTTCAAAAGCTCAGTGATGAGAGTCACCGAACTAAGATCATATTTCAAGTTTATGGGAAAGCCGTAACTCTAAGCCAGGTCTTCTGAAAGTTGTCCTCGTACTTCCCCCCTGGGAAACCATGGATCTGGGCATCACTCACCATGGTCCACATCACAAACAGACACTTAAACAGTCTCAGGCAGTTGTGGTGCAATGTATGACATCAACATTTGGAGGGGAAGCACCCATTAAATCCCTGTCAGGCACCCAGGCTTGAGGCCTTC